AGCATGCCGTAGACGGATTTGCCCCTTCTCCGACCTGGCACTGCGCCGAGTGCAACGGGCGCGCTGTCTATAGACGCATCAAACCCGAAGGAGTCTCTTTAGATACCAGACGACACCCAATGGCCAATGGCTTCCCAGACGCTTGTGGCTAGATAGTGAGAACGATATCTGGCCCAGGCCCCCAAGACATTGCCCGCATATTTGAGCAGACTGTCCTGTCACTCGTGCAGGCCTACCACGATGTGACCTCAGAGCCCAGCAACGTTCTCAAACCAAAACTTGTTAGTGGAGCATAAACCCGATGCGTTAAAACAAAACAGCATCAGCAAGAAAAGCTCTAATAACATTTCGTGCAGACCACAAAATGTTATTACAACATTCTTTGGTGGGCCTATCAAAAGAAACCGAACTCTATACACCGACGCTTGTTTCCGGCCCTGCATTGAACTTTGCAAAGGAAACGGATCCTGGTATGTATGGGATCCTGGTAGATAGATGTGTCGTTGCCCCCCCCCCCCCGGGAAGAGGAACAACAAACAAAAACACCACACCAACCCCAAAAACAGCCCACCACTGGTAACGCATATTCCCCAAGCAGTGCTTGCACTGAAAGGGGTCCTAGCGGATACTGAAAGATTTGGCAACAGTCCCGGGCTGATTTCGGACCCCCGGCTGGGTTCCCGGGTTCCCTGTTTCGGGTTCCCGGGTTCCCGTTTGCTGGTTCTGGGCCGATTTCGGGATCCCAAGATCGAGCTCACCGTCGATCGCATGATCGATCTCACGATCCATCTTACACAAACGATCCCACCATCGATATCACCATCAGTGATGGAGATGTCGATGAAGCGCCTCTTCCGACGGCGAACCTGCGGCCAGACATGGTACCTGCCAAAGTCTCCAAACCATCCACGGATTGGGGTGTACTATCTGGTGCAGTGCTCGAGTCCCCGATCTAGGCAAGCCAGGACGCTTCGCCACTGCTTGACATCTAGCAGCAGGTGGCCTGGGCCCTCCAAGAGTAGGGCAGAACATCCACCCCGACAATAACCACCCCGACACGCGAGGCGCTTAAGTAAACGCGCCCAAAGAAATAATCGAACTGGGCAGGGCTGTTTAGTAAACGCCCAGGGCCGTCTACTAAACGCCAATTGTCCGGTCCGGGTGGTTTCCCTAGGGGCCCACATGCGAACCCTACCCCTACCCCCCACGACTTCTGAGGGGGAGGGTGGGGTTCACTTCGCTCGGGAGCTCCCGAACAAAGTGAACCCCACCCTCCCCCTCAGAAATCGTGGGGGGTAGGGGTAGGGTTCGCATGTGGGCCCCTACTCCCTTGAAGGATGGGGTGCCCGGCCCCCTCGGGCGCCGCTCTCCCCCCCGCGGCGGGCACCACGGGAACTCCCACTTGTCCGGCATCGAGATGATGTCGCAGTTGACCATGTGGTCCCAGTCGCCGTGCCGGATCGCCCTCCGCGCCTCTCGGCGGGAACGAGAGAGGATAGCGGGTAGAGGATCAGCTCACGCAACGCTGATGCTCCCAGCGCCTCCCGGCGCCGGGAGGCGCCCATGCATCGTGGAATGGGCCTGGCGGCGGGGCCGAAACCAGCTGCATGCAGCAGACTTCGTACCCCCCCCGTTCCCTATCCCCCCCTTTCGTTCGGCCCGAGCCGCTGGCGGAAGCGAGGCTCGAGCAGGGGATCGACTGCAGAAAGGGATCTACCCCAGAATTTAAGGGCTGCAAGCAAAAAAGGTCTGCATCATGTTCGTCGATCTACGGACATTCTGCGACTGTCTGTTGTGGATCCGACGAACATGTCAAGTATGGGGTACATCAATGCTGTAGGTGAACCGTTTCATCTTCAGCGTGTCGACATTTGGCGGAAGGGGGGAGAGGGGGCGGGGGTCTGACTGCGGACCTCTGCGCAGTGCGACTGTCTGAGACAGCGCGCCCCATGGGGGGGAGACCCCGCCTGCCTGAAGCACGCGCCAAGACCAGCCGAGAGGTCTACGCCGTGGTGGGGGGGGGGTGCGCGAGGGTCCGCGCCGATCGGCAAAGCAATGACCAAGACCAGGTCGGGCATGTCCTCCTGCAGGCGGTGTTGGATGAAGATGGAAAGCATAATCAAAGAGCATGCCAACAATAGGATACAAAAAACTACACATCGCCCCTGGACTATCTTCTCACTATCTTTGGATACTCGTCCTGTAGAGGGACATGCCTGAGTCTTGAGCAGGGACCGACCGTCCCGGCATTCCTTTAGTCCTACCACGAAAAGCTCTTAGAACCGAAAAATGCTCTAACAACAAAAACAATGTTCTTATAACATAAACCCGATGTGATAAAACAAGACAGTCTCAGCCAGAAAGGTTCTAAGAACATCTCGTGGGAACGAGAAAAGGTTCTTAGAACATTGTTTGGTAAGGCTATGGGCGAGCTGGGACGCTTCGCCACTGCTTGAGACTCAAGCCTCAGAGAGCGATCACCGGCCCGTTCCCCTGCTCGAAAGGAAGGGACTGCGGGAGCAGCCCCCCGCCGTGGGGAGCTTCGCGCGGCTGCCGTGCATCCACGCTCCCGGGGCCCCCGCGCCCCTCGCACGGGTTAGGATGTTCCAGCCTGCCTCATCCTCGGTCGCCGAAATCATTTCTGAGCACCAAGAAAATGTCGAAGCTCGAGGGTTTCTTCGTGTCGGGCCCTGGGAGACGATGCTCGCTCGACACCGTATCGATACTTGTATGGGTGCTCGTAATGATTTCTGGGATGTGGTCCTTAATGAGGGACAAACAAACCTTCATCGCTTTTGACCACCCTCGCTTCCAAGAAATACCAAGCAGTGCCAAACTACGGCCTGTACTGGTCAGGCCGCTTGACGAGGAGGCGCGTGGTATGACTTGGTTTTGCCTGGAAGCGAAAGCGGGGCAGGTAATTCACGGTCTGACTTAAGTGCAATGGGAGAAGCAGAACGCCCGGGCAGGCTCCCGGGGGAGAGAGAGAGAGAGAGAGAGCGCCGGGAGGCGCGGGCCGGTGGGGCCCGCGCGCCGAGCCGAGGGATGCGCGCGGGGCCCGCGGAAAGTGCGCGGCTGCGCCGTGGATTTTTCTGCCCCCGGGCGTCGGGTGTTGCTCGAAGTGCCCCTGGCCCAAGGTGCCCCGAGCTGTTCGCGCCACTCTTGGGCCCCTGGGGCCCTCTGGGCCTCGTGAGGGGCGTCCTGGAGGCCGTCTGGGCCACCCCCGAGAATCCTGGGGGTACCTTGGGCCAGGGGCACTTCTGGCAACACCCGACTGGGGGGCCCCAAGAATCAGGCAGCCAGGTCTGGAAAAGCGGTTGTGAAGCAGTATGGCCTTTCCACTGACCCCATATTTGCTGAGGCTTAGGTCGGGCATGTCCGCCGACGGGCGGATTTTGAAGGAGAAATGCAGAAGAGTCAAAACATATTCAAACTTTGCGAGAAAAAACAAGGAAACATCGCACCCCGACTATTATTTCCCTATCTTTACATTTTCCTCCTGTAGAGAAACAGGCCCGACTTAAGGTCAGGCGTGATCTACGGTTGCCGCGTATCCTGCGCGGCAAGCGTTTTTGTCCCCTGCGGAGCCGACGCGTCGTGCGACGTGGCTGGCGAACGACCGAACGACCGAGCCTTGGGGAACCGAAAAGATGCCAAGAACTGCCGAGGAGCTGAACGACGCCACGACCGCTGGCCCCGTGCCCCTGCTGAGGGCAAATTTTGGATAGGAAAGTGCAGGGCTCTACCGCTGACCCCGTGACCCATAGGGGAACAAAAAAAGTGGCACAAACACAAAAACTCGGCGCTAGGGCCCCCCGGCGGCGCCCCCGGCGCCGCCCTTGGCGCGCTCCGCGCGCCAGGGAGGGGGGGGGGTCCAGCGCCGATCCGAGAAATCCGCGCGGACCTCCGAGCTCTTATGTTTATGCGACTTTTTGTTCCCCTACTGATAAGCGCAAGGTGGGGATGATGAAGCGCGGGGCTCGCGGGGGGCAGATGCCCTTTTTCTCTCCCGGCAGCTCGTAGGTACGATGACGCGTCAATATGGCTTTTTGCGAGGTGGCCGTGGCCCTGCCGCACAGTCGTTTGGAGAGCTGCAGTGGTGAGGATCCCATCGCCCTGCCACAGCCCAGGGCAGTTTTTAATGCATAGGACTGTCAAACAGATATGACTTTAACACATTATTAATGTATGAATAAATGTATGCATGAACTCATCGTTGTTTTTGATACTAAATCACTGCTTTTTAATACATGATCCGCACGCGGAGCATGTATTAAAAACGGCACTGTCGTGAGTGAGGAAAGCTGAAATGGTGAGAATCCCAAAGCCCAGCCACACGTTCGTGACAGTGGTGCGACTCAACATCAGAGGATCGCAGCTTCGCTTCGTGCTCCCCCCAGCGGAAATGAACATCGGCCCCGCCGCTCCTTTCCCGCGACCAATTCTGTTTCGGCCGGGGATTGTCAACTCGGGGATGGACAGACCCCCCTTTAGTAAAACGTGGTTTAGTGAAAACGACCTGAGGCTCAAACCTGGCAGGCGCAAGACTGGAAAGTAACGGCCACGGCGCCCTCTCGAGAACCGAAAACGCACAATTCGCTAATCGACGTGTCACTGTTGTGGGTTCTGTCCACCCCCGATCAACTCTTTGGGCTTGTGTAGGGGATGCCTTATCATCTGGGGTGCTCGGTTACTCCCCGGACCTTGTCAGCGATGCGTTCTCACCAGACGTTCGAGGCGAATCCAGCCGTGGCGACGAGGGGCTCCCGAGAGGCCCGAGGAGGCGAACACGAGGCAGGGCTGGTAGCACCGGCAACTTCTACTGGTCGGAGCCTCGGGCAGCTTGGGGCACGCGGGGTCCCCCTCCAGGAAGGCGTGGATGTCGTAATAGTAGAACTGCTTCGTCCATATCATGCCAGCCAGCGCCTGGCGCTGAATCAGCCGGCACTCCTGGTCGGCGAGGTCGATCTGCAGGCCGTCGTAGAACTCATCGGCCTCCGCTATGCGAGTCGCGAACGTGGAGTCGAAGTCAACCATTGCATCCTGGGGAAAAGCGAACTGCATAAACAGGAGCTGCTGGAGTTCCGCACGGATCTCTTGGATCGGCACCGGGCCCCCATGGCGGTGCCTCTGGCGCCGCCCCTGGGCGCGCTCCGCGCGCCAGAGGAGGGCGAGGGGGCACAGCGCAGATCCGAGAAGTCCGCGCGGAGCCGCAAACGTTTATGTCTACGCTGTTGATCAGCGGTGGACAAGCCTCCCTTCAGTAAACCTCCCCTGAGTGAAAACGGTCTGGGACCGAAACCGACGGACCTGGACCAGAAAAAATAACGGCCGTGACGCCCTCTCGCGAACCGAAAACGGCCAATTCACTAATCGACGTGTCAGGGTGGGAGGTCTATCCACCCCCGATGTTGATCCCTCTACAACTCCTTCAGCTTGTCCCTGCTGAGTCTCAGGCGCACCGTCTTCGAGCCACCCGCCGGCACGTTGAGCCGCGTGTAGAAGCCGGCCTTGGTGCCCTGCCGCCTGGAGACGGCGCCCTCGTCGCCCAGCACGATGCGCTGGTGGAAAGCGTCCTTGTACGGGCCTGGGCCGATGATGCCGCTGGCCTGGCAGGAGGGCCCGGGATCGGATCGACAGGTCATGTCGGTCGGATCGACGGAGATCGGCGGCCAAATGTGGGGAGAAGTCGGATCGGCAGAGATCGGCAGGCGCAGTAGACCTCCTTGGAGAACTCGGATCCCGAATCGGAATCCCAGGTCGAATCGAATCGGAATCCATCGAGACCGAATCGAATGGAATGGGAGGAATCGAAATGCGCCCTGGCCTGGTACAGCCTCCTCCTCTCCTGCGCGGCGGGCGCGGCAGCCTCTGGCGGGGAGCCGGAAGAGGTGGCGATCGCCGCGCCTCTGGCCAGGATTCCCTGTGCCAAGTTCTGCCTCTGGGGGCGCACACAGCAGGAGTTTGACCACAAGAAACCTTTCACAAGAAACCCAACCTTGAGACCCCAGGACGTTCATATACTTGTTTGGTGTGGGAACGCCACGCTCTCCGTGGCAAAACCACCGAAACCCAAGAAACCCAGGGCACCATGGAGGCAAGCAGGGTGTTTCTGGGTCCCCACTGTGCTTGTTTCCGGCCAGTTCGTGTGCGCAGCGTTCGGCGGCCGCTCGAGGATGCGCCGGCCCTGCTGCCAGGGCGCGGCATCGGAAAACCAACAACCATGGCTGCGCGCTCCTGCCGCAGGCGAGATTTTCCAAGTTGCCCGTGGAAGAGGGCTTGATCTTGATGGGCCTGATTTCCACCACCACCACCACCATAAGTTGAAGGGGGAAGGAGGAGGAGGAAGGATGAGGAGGAGGAGGAAGAGGAAGAGGAGGAGGAGGAGGACCCCCTCCCCGGTGGTGGTAAAAACAAGCCCATCATGAGTTCACCTGAGATTCTTTGACTGGGCCACGGTGGCGGTGCACAGACATGCTCTACGGGCAGCGGCCCGGCTCCGGCAGCGAGGCGAGGGCAGGGCCTCGGCATCGGCCCGCGGAACGGGGGCTGTGTAGAGGAATGGCAACTCCAGACTGGCTGGGTATGTAGCGCTTTCGGCCCTCAAGGGGTTTGAAAAGGGTCTTCGGCCCTCAAGGGGTTTGAAACGGGCCTTCGGCCCTCAAATGGTTTGAAATGGGCTTTCGGCCCTCGAGTGGTTTGAAATGAGGAGGTGGAGGAGGAGGAGGAGGAGGGAGAGGAAGGCCGGAGCACCGAGCGCAGAGGAGGCCCGCAGGCGCCCCATACCCGCCCAGTCGGGAGCCAGAATCTCGCCATCGCTCGGACGCCCATTTCCAGTGCATCGTTCGGTCTCGTGCGTGTTTTTTTTGCTCGATGGGCCAGGATTGTCCTCCATGGCTCTCGCCGAGAAAAAATGCACACGTCCGAGCGATGCCAGGGAATTGGCACCCCCCGGGGGCACCGATGTCTGCACAGCACCCCTGCAAGCAGGCCGGCCTCGGCACAGGGCACGCGCGGGCAGGGGCGGTGGCCACACATCGCCTTCCGATCGAGCTTCCTCCGACCGTCGCCGTCGCCGACCCCCCCCCCTCCGTCTTGTTAGTTGGTCTCTCTGCCCCTCTCGGGTCGGGCGAAAGGGGGGGATAGCAAAGGAGGGGTTTAAGAATCAGCTCACGTGGCTGATTTTCCCGGCGCCTCCCGGCGCCGGAGGCGCCCATGTATCGAGGATTGGGCCCCTCGGTGAAGCCGAAACCAGCTGCATGCAGCAAATTTCGTAACCCCCCCTTTCCCAATCCCCCCCTTTCGCCCGGCCCGACCCTCGTCCCCCCATCCACCGGATCTGTTCCTCGGCAGCACAGGCTGCTCACGCTACGCATGCCTCATCGTAAAATTCGAGTCGTGTCGACCCCGGCGTGGATGCGTGATACCGAGAGGACCGATCCAGCGTGAGGAATCGCCCCTTTCCGAAACGTGAGGTTTTTCGGCATCGACCGACTCTGGGCCACTGGCGGCGTTCAGACTTACACGCCCGCGCTGTGGTCGCTGACGGTCGACACGACGCGAGCCTACCGTACTAAGATGTTCAACGATGTGGTCTCCATGGGGCACGCCGAACACGCACTGAAGACATACTCGTACGAAAACCGGCCATGCGATGTCTGAGAACCCCGTCATCTCTGCTTCAAGACACGCCTGGACTCTGTATACGCCGACGTCGCCCTCTCGCATCCTCGCCATCCGCTCAAGGACTGTCCCTTGCCCACAAAATCTGTGATGCAAAGTTTCTCGCCATGGAATGACTTTTGACGGTCCTGGGGCCCAGACTCACAGAGACCGGAATTCATCAAAACTGGAAGTCCAGCGCAATCTTTCCAGTATGATGTTCACTCCCCGTAGAACGAAGGATACCCACAGGAACGACGAGGAGCGCCACAGGAAAACTCGTGGTAGGACCCGATGAGCATCGAGCCCCTTCCGAAACGAAATCGGACCAGTGGAGTTTCCCATTGATGTGACGCTGAGCGGGAAGGGTACCACGAGGACACGTGGAGCCAGGTTTTATAAACTACGCATGTTGATTGTAGATCGCTCTCGCAATGCTGTCACCTGCGCCTCGGACGAGCTGAAGAAGAAGAATAACAACAATAACAACAACAACCACAACAACAACCACACCAACAACCACAACAACGACCATCCTTTTACCCTCATGCGCGATGTTTCCACACGAAGCATGCGACCATGATGATAACCATCCACATCATGGGGGACTACTGTTCCATAGCTGGGTCCGATACGCCCATTCCCAGATCTCCCGCCCAATGAGGTCTTGCAAACACCTCCTCCGAGGAATTTCAACATATCCTGCCTCGAAAACACATGCCCGCGACTTGCTGCACCGATGCGAGACCGCCAGTGGAACCCCAGCGAAGGGTAAAGCACAAGGAAGTATCGAGCGACAGGATTGCCTCGGTGGGGATGGAGCTGTCGGCGGTGAGGCAAGGACCTGGCCCTGAATAGAAAGGGAGGAAGTCTCGAGCAGGGATGCTGTTGTTGCTGGGAGCGGCGCCAATGCTGAAGAGAGTAGGGCGCCAGTCCAGCGTAAAACACAACGAAGTCTCGAAAGGGAACGCTGGTTTTGTTGGGACGGCGGCTTTCGGCGGCGAGGAGGAAGATCTCCTTGAGTAGGCAAGGAGGAAGCATCGAGCGGAAGCCGTGGTTTTGTCGTGACGGCGGCGAGGAACAGCACCACCCCGAGGAAACAGAGAGGAGATCTCGAGCGGGAACGTTGTTCTTGATGGGAGCGGCGCGAATTCAAAAAAGAGCTGTGCGCCAGTCCAGCGTAAAACGGAAGGAATTCTCGGGCGGGAGCGCTGGTTTTGTCGGGGCGGCGGTTCTCGGCGGCGAGGAGGAGCACCGCCTTGAGTAAAAAAGGAAGAAGCCTCGAGCGGGAGCGTTGTTTTTGCTGTGGGCGGCGCCGATGAGAGAAAGACTAGCGCGCCAATCCAAGGTAAAACGGGGAGGTCTCGAGCGGGAGCGCTGGTTTTGTTAGGACGGCGGCTTTCGGCGGCGAGCAAGAACACCTGACCTGAGTAAAAAAGGAGGGCGTCTCGAGCGGGAGCGTTGTTGTTGGGGGGCCGGTTGTGGCGGTCCCCCAAACCGCTCGAGCGCGAGCCTCATTCTCAATGAACATGTAGCCGGCGCCTCGGCGAGAGCGCCAGGGCGCCTGTGAGGGGTCCAACAATAATACTTGCGTAGAAATTAACATTCAGCAACAACAACAATCATTTCAAGACTGATCGCCCTTATCTGCTCGAGGGTCCAATAACGCCTACTTCCCAAACCCTCGATACCCGCCCGTTTCGTCTTCGATCGAACCCCTTTTAAAAGGTATACCTTTCTTCCCTGCAGGCCGGGCCCCGGCAAGCGGCAGGGCGGCCGCGGACCGTCGGCCTGGCCAGCGGCAGCGCTGATCGGCGGGGCGGCCGCGGACCGTCGACCCGACCCCAAGAGGGACGGACAGGGGACCGACGACGACGACGACTTCGACGACGACGACGACGACGACGACGGCGACGACGACGACGACGACGAGCGAAAGCGAGAGCGAAAGAGAACGACAGCAGGGCCACAAGGACACGAAGTAGGCCACGAAGGGCAACAGCGGGGACACGAAGGGAATGCGTATGGAGCCACGAAGAGCGCGAACGAGCGGGGGCCACGAAGGGCAGATCATGCGGGGCCACAGAAGGCAACGATGGGGCCACTGAGGGTAGCAACTGGGCCACGTAGGACAGATGCATATGGGGCCACGAAGGGCATACATAGATGGGGCCACGAAGGGCAGCGAGGGGGCCACGAAGGGATGCAACGGGGCCACGAAGGGCAGCGAGGGGGCCACGAAGGGCTGCAACGGGGCTACGAAGGGCTGCGACAGGGCCACGAAGGGCGGCGAGGGGGCCACGAAGGGCTGCAACGGGGCCACGAAACAAAGCGAGGGGGCCACGAAGGACTGCAACGGGGCCACGAAGGGCAGCGAGGAGGCCACGAGGGGCTGCAACGGGGCCACGAAGGGCAGCGAGTGGGCCACGAAGGGCTGCAACGGGGCCACGAAACAAAACGAGGGGGCCACGAAGGGCTGCAGCGGGGCCACGAAGGGCAGCGAGGTCCCGACTCCTATGAAATCTGTGATGGAGTTCTAAGCGTGAGCGCGACTCCTGGGTGCCTGGGTGTCGGGAGCGCGGCGCTTGAGTAAATTGCAAGAAATTCCAACGCAAGGGCACTATTCTTCAGTAAATTGCAAGCAAGTCTCCAGCGAGAGCGCGACTCCAGAGCGCCAGGAGAATAAATTCTCAGGACGCCCCAAGCGAGAGCGCGATTCCTGAATAAAGCGCGAGTAAGTCTCGGGCGGGAGCGGGGGTCCTGGCTAAATTGTAAGAAGTCTCAGACGGGAGCCGGTGTTGTTGTAAACCGGGGGCCAACGACACAAATTGACGCTCAAGACTTTCCCAAATAGAAAACAGGGTGCGAGCCCTGGGAAGGGCACTTCAATCGGAAAAAAAATTAGCCTGACGAAGGACCCAACCATGTGCAGTTGTGAATACCGCAATTGTGAATACCACCTTCACTCGCGCTCCCTATGGGGCCACGAACCGTGTGAGGGGCGTGCCGAAGTTCGTCACGGGGTACACAATACGAACAAAGACGGTCGGTCTGAGTGCGAGAGGCTAAGAACGGGTGAGCCTGAGCGCGAGTGAGTCTGATTGTGAATGAGTCTGCGTGCGAATCAGTCTACGTACATAAATGTGGACGCTCCTCCCGAGGATCGCGCCCGCTTCCTTCCCTTTCTTCTCTGCATCTTTGCCTGTG